AACCAGAGTGAGGCTGTTCAGTTTGGGTCGCCAGCCCACTGGGTGATAAAAAGTTTGTGATCTGGCCCCACATTCAAAAAGATTGGACACCCATTACCTAGAGGATATGCCACTTAGAGAAGATTGTATAGCTGTTCTGAATGTAATTAACAAAGCTCTTTGGGCTGCTTTGGCTACCTTTGTGAGGGCCTCAGGCCCTGCCCTTCCCCTGCCCTTCCCCTCCGGGCAGGGCTGGGGGTTTCCCACCCTGCTTGCAAATAGCTCTTGGAGGCTGGAGCTCAACCAGCCTGCAGAGCTGTTTGCAAAAGCAGGGGATCTGTGGGTTTCTCTGCTAAAAGGAGAAATCCGCGTTTTCTCTGATAAAAAGGGGAAATCTGTGGTTTTCTCTGTTTTTCCATGGGAAACGGGAAAACCAGATCCCTGCTGATCATATCTTCAAGGACACACGTATGCATTTTTAATTCAAGATTTACTCATTAAAATTCATAAACAACTACCATCCTCGCCCTTCCTAAATATTGGCTTTTTGGTCATAGCTCAGTAGCGTAAGTTAGGGAAGTGAGATAGGTACCAGCCCCAGTTGCCAACTTAGAGTGGGCAAAGGAATGGTGCCCCTCTCCACTAAAGTCTTTGCCATGTCAGGAGCAGCCTTCCTTACCATAGGAGCCGGGTGGTGGAACACAACTGGAGCAGCAAGGGTCTCAACAGTAACAGCAAGGCTGTCCCCCTCCTCTATGGCCCTTAGCTCCCTCTCCCCAGGGAAGTTTGTCCAGCGTGCCAAACTTGATGGCTACCCCTCTGTCATAGGTTATATACAGTACTTTTGGGGAGGTACAGCATTCTTCATACAAAGAATATGAACACTACCATAAAATAAAATCCAAATCTGACCTTTAATTATACTGAGGGTTCCAGCTTACTTCTTTATTAAAGTGTATTTTTACTGAAGACACCAAAGCGCTATTGCTGTGATGTCATAATGAGACGCTTCTATTTTTTTAAGCTGTATCTATTTTTAGAATTAAGACTGCATACATATTCTAAATACAATCTCCTACTTTTTAAAATGTTATATATTTAAACAATGTATTTGATATATTCATTCCAATTTGAAATGTTACCTTTCTCTAACTTAACCAAATCATACAAGTCGTAATGAACTCAAGAGTCAGGTGAGAATGGAAGGAGCAACAGTCGAAGCTAAAAGGAGGGGTGGGGGGCTTGCTATGAGAATAAGTTTTGGAGTAAAAATCCAAAAAAGTCTAAAGATTTCAGGGTGCAAAGTGTACACAGTTTTAATGGTCTGTTAACTCCTGTAAGTTCTAGAGAGTTCCTTATGTATATCCCAAGCATTAATATATTCATATATTGTGGACTTAAGATGTCTTTTTGATCATTGTTATTTAAAAAAATAGCCACTCATGAATGTTCTCAGTGTTGACATTTACATATACAGCTTATATGTAAGCTGTTGTTATTTTATATGTTGCTCCCGCTAACATCAATAAGATTTTATCATTGATTTCATTGCAGGCAGTTGAGTCCCAGAGCGGAATTTAAGAATGCAAATGTCTTTATTATTTTGATTTGTAATATTCTTGTTTCCTCCTGGTTGTCATTAACTTAACCAATGACTATATTTTTGGTTTTAGACTAAGATGCTACCCACACCATCCAAGTTTCATTATATTTTCAATCTTCGAGACCTTTCTAGAATTTGGCAAGGAATGCTAACTATAAAAGCAGAAGAATGCAACAATATCACTACACTTATGGCACTTTTTAAACATGAATGCACTAGAGTAATTGCTGACAGGTACAATAATTCTGTCATTTTATATGTATAAAATATTTAGGAGTACTAGGAGACCATTATATTTACAATAATAGGCTCTTGATGTTTTTTTAGAAATGAATGTTAGCATTATAAGGCCAAGTTTAAAGATGTTTACTTTTTTCTGCGAGCTTGCTGCCTGCTGCTGTTATCCCAACAGATACCAAGATTCTACATAGGACATGTTCTAGTCTTAATCTTTGACATCAGGAGAGAACACCACTGTGAAGTGAGAAAAGCCTCTAGTCTTAAATTTATACATGGCCCACAGATCATAAAATTCAAACACTTAAGAAAAGCTAAGTGGTATCATAAATGAGTTTCAGAATGACGGCTTGAGGTAGGATCCAAGATTCTGTTGTCAGTACCTGGTATTGTGACAGTAAGTTCTTAGCAAAATGTCAAGGTCTAATAGAAGTATTAATCAAGTAGGACTGATAAATTATTAAATGGAATTATCAGAAAAAGAAAGATCTTTCATATACTTTTGATAAAATCTTAGAATGAAAACAAAAAGAAAGCGTTGTTCGGACTCCTGAATCAGGAAAAAAATTAGCAGAGGATGCATACGCATTTTGACAAGTACAGGAGGTCAGTGGATAAACAGCTGACCTCCTGTACTTGTACAGCTGAACAATATGTGCATTTAAGCCAGAGTATCAATCTATTCCACATTATAGTTTCTTGTAGGTCAGGGGAAAAATGTGTTTCAGCATACAGATAAAATGGAAGGGTTTACCTTGATACCTTTAAAGAACTTATTAGATTCTAGAACATCTGAAATCCAGGGTGGAAGAGAAGATAAAGCAAATCCACATCAAACAGTCCGTGGTGCTTATCAATAGTGATTGTTTCAAAAGAGAATGAGGAAATTAATTTCAATGAAGATTTCAGAAAAATGAATGATATTAAATTCAAGATTGCCCCATGGCCCAGGGATGATTTGTCAAACTTAAGCAGTGCTAAATATATCAGTATATTGAGTTTAGCCAGTTCATTGGCAAATTCCTCTGTCCAAAGGTATAACATCTCGGGGACTATCTCAGCCTTTTGGCTTGCATGGGATTCCAGTAACATTCCAGTGTTTTATGTATCAGTTGCTATGGTGCAGCATATCTGGGCAAATTTATAATTTACAGACCTGGCTTTGGGACATCCCTCTGAATTGCAACATTTTTAGCTCCTTTTCTACTATCTCCCGGGAAGTCAATTGGGTTGCTTTTTCAATCACTCAGAAAAGATGGTGGCTAATTACCTGACTTTAATACTGGAACACCAGATGAATCTTCTTGAAGAACAGAGTCTGAGGCCAATTGGGACAGGTGAATAGCTAGATAAAAAACAGCTCTCCTGAATACACCTGGGAATTTTTTTTAGCAAACAGTAAATTTACCTTCAAAATGTAGTTGTGGGGGGAGGGGGCGGGGCCTGAAATTATTTTTGAATTTTTGTTAAATTCATTGAAGAGCTCAGAGGGAAAAATGAAAATGTTGAAATGCTTTATTTTATAGTTTAAATATAATATTTATACTTCTTATTTCAAATGGCATTTTTATTTTGAAATTGAACTAAATAAGGGCAAAAAGGGTGGCCAAAGTGAAAACCCATTTTTTTCAGATTGATCCAAAATATGTTTTCTTTCTTTTTTTTCTTTTTTTTTTTTTCCATTTCACCAAAAATGGTAAAACCCAACAGTTTAGGATTCCCCTGAACCATTTCCCCTCCCCTCCCCACAAATCAACCACTGAATCAAAAAATCTTTTGTTAACACAGCCTAACTGATAAGTTTGAAGGGGGCAGTTTAACTGCTGATAACTATAGGTAACTTCAACCGAAATGATTGGTAGTTACCCTTCATGTGCTGAAACAAAACCTTAGAGAACAAGAAGCAGAAAATTCTGGTTAAGAACCCTGAATTGTGATTTTAGGCTACTGTACTTGAAATATTAGCTAGGTCATTGGGCAAATTCCTCTGTCGAAAGGTATAAGTGCATTTGCAACATCTCAGGGACTCTCTCAGCCTTTTGACTTGCATGAGGTTCCAGCTTGGACTTTGTCTGTAAACTTCAGGAAGAAGGAGTAAACCATAAGAGAATACCTTTGACTTTATTTTATTAAAACCAGATTTAGCAATTGGATCACATCAGAGAAATTACCAGATTTCAACATCAGGTTTTTATTCTAATAGAAACAGGCTCCAAGACCCTGAATTGATGTGAAGTGCATAGATCAAAAAATGATAACAATATGGAAACACTTTGCTGTTCCTTCCTTCTCTTTTTACTGTCCCCTAAGCCTGTCCTCACTTATGTTGCTGATCCAATCAATCTTCCTTTCTGTCCTTTGGTTTCATGCCTCTTCCTGTCCTCTAACTGGGGACAGAAATATGCTCTCTAACTGTATGTCAGTGGAGAAAAAACTATAAGCAGAAGGGAGGCAAGTTGTCCTGAGCTTAGTGCAGATGCCATCTGGTACACAAAAAAGTCACCCAATGGAAAATCCAGCTACCTTCCTGGAGGCATGAGCAGACTTGAGGGAATGGATATAGGGAAGCTAAAAGATTATATGAAAAAACTCCCAAATAAACCCTTTTTAGATAGAGCAAGCTATAAATCTAGCAAAAATATCATTAACAGGAAATTTGTATTCATAAGAAGGACAGTAGTAAAAGAAAATAATTCGAGAAAATTACCATTGATGGTGTGAGGGGCAAAGATGTTTTGGGGGTGATACCTTTTATTGGACTTACTGCATGGTTGGAATAAGTTAGACTAGCTTTCAAATGTAAGGTGACCTGGTGAAGAATGTCTTGCATTTGAAAACTTGTATAACTTTATTTCATGCAGTTGGTCCAATAAAGGATATTACCTCAAAAACTCCTTGCCTCTCACATAATTCCTGGACCACTGAAACTACATCATTCCTAACGCTACATTGACTTTGTGTAAAAGTTTGGACTCTTCTTCTACCCTGCATTCCCTCTGTTTCTTTTCTCTGTGTTTTATCTCCTCTGCTGGGACTTGCTCTGCATTGTATGGGTTTTAGGCCTCTAGCCTACGATGCATTTATGGTGTGATTATGTTAACTACACTATAAATGGCAATGGTGCCATGTATGCACATAATTTAAGGTGCCATAAAATGGCAAATCAGCCAAAAAGATGTTCCACATATAATGCAGAACAGTGGTGCTCAACCTTTTGGCCCCGTGGGCCAGATGAGTGCATGTAGCTGGTCCACAGGGCATGGCAGACCCTGTGTACCAAGTTTGGGCCCCGTGTTGCTTTTGTCTGGCCCCATACCACCTAGAGCAGCCTGCATCATGCTGCACTGCCCCAATCAGCTATGCACCACAGTCATCAGCCCCACATACCTCCCTGTGCTGCCCCAGTCATCCCTGAACTGCCCTGATTAGCCCTGCACACCCAGTCTAGATTGCAGGGCCATACTATCTGGCCCATGGTATCCCTATGAGTCTGAAAATTTGGCAGCGGAGGAGTGGTAATTAGCTGCCCTACCACCAATTTTTTGGAGCCGTTGGTAGCCCTGAAGGTGAGATGGCATGGCTGTGTGGACTAGATTTGGCCTGTGGACTGAGGGTTGAGCACCCTGATGTAGAAAATCTTTGTGACTTGTTTGTATAGTTCCTTAAATTGAACATGTGACAGGTCCACACACAGGGTCCACCTAGGGCTAAATTCCTAAAATCAGATGATTGTTGGCATTATTCACTGACAGTCCAGGGTATCCACCCAGCTGAGAACTGACAATCAGCTCATTTTCCACACTGACCCGGGGAAGCCAAAGGTCTCCAGCTGACCTGGTGCTGTCCCAGTCAGGAGCAGGGAAAGTTGAAGGGCTCCCCATGCTAGGGAATTTAAATCCCCATGCCTAACAGTCCTACTGGGGTTTAAACTCTCTGGAACATCAGAAGTCTTGAACCCTTGCTGAGGCTGCTGGGTGCAGGGGGGAAAAATGAAGATTGATGTCAGTTCTATGCTGGTATATGTATAACTTGTTCAAGGTATGCATTTCCTCCTTGCTGCCTGATAACTTCACTAAATCCCATTCCAAAAAGAGATATACAAAATCATTGGTGAGTCATTTCTTTTTATTTATCTGATAACATTGTCTGTCATAACCCTGGAAGAAAGACAGAAAGTAAAAGTATAATATATTGAATTGATATGACTCTTGTACATGTGAAACATGAGAGCACTTACACTTTTGTAGCTATAATTATATAATTTATAATTCATTAAATGCTTTTTGATTTGTCTGCTCTGTATTTTATTAAATATTTTTGTGTGTGTTTAATTAAAAATCTTTCAATTTTTAATTGTACTGATCTGTATCTTGTAGATTTATTACTGATGAAGACGTAGCTTGGTTTGATAAAACTATTTTTCGAGCAGTTGAGGAATGTATGGGTGCAGGATTAGAATCAGTTCTCCAGAATGAACCATATTTTGTAGATTTTTTACGGGAAATGCCTGAACCCACTGGAGAAGAACCTGAAGATTTTGTTTTTGAAGCACCAAAAATGTATGAAGAGGTATTTTGTTTTACATGTGGCATATTGCTGAGTTCATATTATATAGAAATTTTACTAAACACATGCTGAATTTCTGGGGAATACATTTTCTAGATTTGTCAGGTCAGTCATTTTATCCACATTTTTTAAAAGTCTTAAAATGTGGTAAGGAATCTACCTTATCAATATAGTCCATTCTCCATCATTAGAGACATATATGACTTCATCAATGTCTTCATCAGTGACTTGGATGAGGGAGTGAAGTGTACTCTGTCCAAGTTTGTAGATGATACAAAACTGTGGGGAGCAGTGGACACACCGGAGGGCAGGGAACAACTACAGGCAGACCTGGACAGGTTGGACAAATGGGTAGAAAACAATAGAATGCAGTTTAACAAGGAGAAATGCAAAGTGCTGCACCTAGGGAGGAAAAATGTCCAGCACACCTACTGCCTAGGAAATGACCTGCTTGGTAGCATGGAAACAGAAAGGGATCTTAGAGTCCTAGTGGACTCCAAGATGAACATGAGTCATCAGTGTGATGAAGTCATCAGAAAAGCTAACTGCACTTTATCGTGCATCAGCAGGTACATGACAAATAGAGCCAAGGAGATGATACTACCCCTCTATCGGGCACTGGTCATACCACAGTTGGAATACTGCGTGCAGTTTTGGGCACCACACTTCAAGAGGGATGTAGATAACCTGGAGAGAGTCTAGAGAAGGGCTACTCATATGGTTAAGGGCTTGCAGGCCAAGCCCTACGAGGAGAGACTGGGGCACCTGGACCTCTTCAGCCTCCGCAAGAGAAGCTTGAGAGGCGACCTTGTGGCTGCCTATAAAATTATCATGGGGGCGCAGAAGGGG